AGGGCCCCTACAGATGGAACCCAAGTCTATGATATCTGACAACACAACAATACATTCCAGGCACTGAAAATCTGCTCGTGAGTGAGACAAACCATAGCCCCTCCTTTCATGGAATTTACAGATGGATGAAGAAGACTGACATGAACTAAACATTCCAAATGTCAAGGAGTGCTATGAAAGAGACTACAGACTATGATAGAGAGCCCTAAAGTTAACCTTCTTGGAAGAGTGTTATTAAATATTTAGTGCCTTTCCCATAATCTAAAAGTGCAGTATAGGACTATTTACCTTTGTGCATTATCTCTGGCCAAAACTGCTAAATTCCAAGGGGATTCCTATTTTCTGGAATGATAACTTGGAATGATGCTAGCATCACACAAAAACTAAATAAATAAGCAATGGGGCCCATCTATATGCAGCCGTATGAAAAATCGCATTCCATATGTGACAACCTATGATTAAAAGAGTAGACTCCGAGCTTCATTCTGCTTGTTGAGATGCACAGCATCAGGCCTTTCCCTGTAATGTTAGACTTTATTGCATTTGTCGGCAGCATATTCCATTTTAATATTTGATAAATAGATATAGGAGGAATTATTTCAAACTACAATCAGGGACTGCTTCAGCTGTTCACCTCCTTTCTGAAGAAAACTCCGTATCCTCAAACTAATATTCCCCCCAAAAGGAACATCAATTTAAAGTGACTGTGAAAAGTGTTTATTTTTCTACCCTCAGGATTAAAAAGCTGAGAAATGATTAATAATAATTTGTCCAGAAAGATAATGCTGGCATTTTAAATGGGGGCAGATAGTGGGTGTGCATCTTTAATTTTCATCAGTTCTAACATTTTATCATTAAAACTGCATGAATATATATAAAGGAAGATAAAAGGAAATGAGAGAGGTGGTAATACCTCATATCTCTTAGGCCGTATTTCCTATGTTTCAGATTTCTACATTGACCCCATTTCAGTCAATTTTCCATAGCCTGCCTGTCTCCTATCCACTGAGGGAACATACTAGTGCTGTGTTTATGCTAATTTTATGCTCTCTGAGTTGTGTCTGTTATTCAAAGCAGTTGAAGCAGTTATTGCCAGTAATCTGATTTCTGCGGGTGCCGCAGGGCAGACGAGGCCTCAGAATCAGGCCTGCAGACCGAGGCAAAGCCGTCACAGCCTGCTGGTAAATGGCAGCTCTTTCCCTGCGAATCTGATATCAGTTACTTCGCAAACACAGTAATAAAATGAAACAAATCAGATTTTCAAGTAAATAAACCAGACTTCAGTGGGAAGCAACAATGGTCAGGGCAACAGGAGTTTCATAAGTGATACATAGGGGAAAATACAAAAGAGCCATGGCTGGATCCTCCACCTCCTTTATTTTCAAGCAAGCCCCACCATCCCCAACTGGCAGGGGGCGCGTCGTTCAACTCCAACCAGCGGGGAAAGTCAAGTAAGACAAGCAATGGAGTTGAGGTTGACATTTTCTTGTCTAAAATCAAACAACAAGACAGACAGTGGTATGTGATGCCCCTGGAGCGTGGCTGGGGATGCAGTGTAAACAAAAGATCCATGATGACAAATGTACCTGCCCATCCACACTCCCCCACCCACCCCTACATAGTAACAGCCTTTTTGAAATCTCCACAAAGTGGAAACAGTGCTAATGAGCATGGTGGTTTCCAGATGAGGGGACATTTGTCCTCTGGTGATGTAGGGGCACCATGGAGGTTTTGATGCAGCAAGAACAATAACCAAGGTCTCTTGAACAGATCATGGAATCATTTATTTCTGGCAATCTCTCCTTTCTTTCCAATATGCTAATTCCATCTATTCTAAGCTACTTCCCCAGTTCATCCTTCCCTCTATCATATCACTCATTTATTTTGGAAAATCAAATTGGCTTACCAACAAAAAAAATAAAATGTTGTTGTTAGGTGCCATCAAATCCGTTCCAACCGATCACGCCTGTCCACACAGCACACAACAGAAGGAAATGCCGCCTTGTCCAGGGCCATCCCCACAACTGACACTATGCCTGAGTCCACTGTCGCAGCCCCTGTGCCACCCCATCTCACTGAGGGCCGTCTTCACCGCCTCTCCACTTCACCAGAATGACGACGTCCTTCTCGAGGGACTGGTGTTTCCTAACAACATGTCCAAAGGATGGGAGACAAAGCCTGGCTATCCTTACCTGCACATTGCATTCTGATAGAATTTCTTCCAATACCACCAGGTAAATTAAGAAGTGCTAAATCTATCTGTCAAGTTAGTAGTGTTAAAAAATTTTTTCTAGAAGCTAATGATTGATATCATTCCTGAATTTGAAACCAGATTATTTTTTTCATTGTAAACTAGGTAGGAATTTACATTTTACAACATTAACTTTGTATTTAATCATTTAGAGCACCAATAAATTTACCAATAATTTACCCCTCTCCTGCTTGTCAATCACCACCCGCTACTTCACCAATGTTAGCACCCATCTACCCTATAGTCTACTGCTTTACCTTCCCTTCCTAGCCCTTCTAACTCCTCAGCAAACTCCAAAGGCTGTTCTCTTCAGTATGAAAGCCTTGGTATTATTACCCCACCCCATCCTATAACAGCATTCTCATATAATATTTGTCCTTCTATGATTAGCTAACTTAACTCAGTATGGTGTTTTACAGCTCTATCCATACCATAAGGTGCTTTATGGTTCATTACTGATTTTTAGTGATGTATAGTATCCAATTGTGTGGGCAAGATGTTTCAGATGAAAAAAAATGCATGTGTAAGTTTATCTTTATTCATTCTTTTACTGATGAGAATTCAGGTTGCTTCCATCCTCTTGCTATTATGAGCAGTGTTGCAATGAACATGGGTGTTCATGGGTGTGCATGCTGTGACTTTTACTTATTTTGGGTACATGCAAAGCATAAAGAGTGCTGAATATTATGACATATATTTTCCCCATTGTTTGATGTAGCGTCATGTAACTTTCTATTGTGGCCATACTTATTTACAGTCCCACCAGCACTGTATCCATTGAACCTAGAAATACACCTCTTGCACATGTATTTTTTCTTTCATCTGAAATATCTTACTTCAGTCCTGCCTGACAGACAGCTAATCAATTTATAAATGCATTCGGCAAATGAGCAGTGTCTACTTATTTTATGCCAAGCACTGTAATAGCACCAGAGGATGCAGATTCAGCCTCCGGTGGTGAAGTACTTACCTAGTTTTCACTCTTCTTATTCTCTCAACTATGATGAGCAAGGGAGGTGGAAGGTCTTGTGGAGAATCATGAAAGCAACTGTACTTGCAGGTGGATTTTTGAACACAGTGTTTTAGGAGTTGAATGTTTTAAGAAAAATAGAAATGTTTAAGTTAAAAAAATACGAGGAAAGTGTTTTGTAGGTCGATGGTTGAGTTAGTTTACTTGGAGAACCTAGATCAGTTTGAATGGAGAAGAGGCCAAAGAAAGTAAGGCAGCGGTTCTCAACCTGTGGGTCGCGACCCCTTTGGGAGTCAAACAACCTTTTCACAGGGGTTGCCGAAAACCATCGGAAAACACATATTTCTAATGGTCTTAGGAACCAACACACCACTCCTCTATCTGTCTCCTGGCGGGTCCGCCCACAAGCAGATATGCCCACATATGAGTCCCCAGTGTGATGACATCATTGCGCCAACCCCATCAAATACACCTGGTCCAAATACAGGTGTTGTGACAGGGTTGGCTCCATAATGTACTTATGCGGACCAGCCACCTATGTGTAGAGAGCAGCTACTGTGTAGAAAGTAGCTGCTGTGTTGAAAGCAGCTACTCTCTTAAAAGCAGCTACTGTGTTGAAAGCAGCAGTATTGGAGGTAAAACAACCCTTGATGAATTATAATTACTGGGTAAGTGTAAAATCATGTACTGCAAAATCATCAACTACTGCTATATATATATGTACCATGGGAACTTAATAGTAATAGATAAGTAAAAAGGTAATAGGTAAGTAACTTGACAGTAATAGGTAAGTAAAAAGTCAACAGAATTGTAAATCATAGGAAATTTTAATGAACTGTATTGAATGAACTATGCCATGTATCATCTTTTGTATTATTAAAGCTATTGTTACATATTATTTTCTTTAGCAAACCACCCCATGACAATGGATCATGTAGAGAAGAAAATTAAGAAAAGAAAATATAGCAAGGATTTTTTTACATTATAGTTTTACCTCAATAATTACAGCAGGAATTGAGAAACCCCAATGTGTTATTTGTTGGGAAGTTCTGTCATTCGAATCTAAGAAGCTGAACAAACTATTTTGATAGGAAGCATCCAAGCTTTGCTGGCAAAGATACCAACTATTTTAGAAGCAAAGCCGATGGACTCAAGAAAGCCAGACTTGACACTGTTGGCGAGTACCACAAACAACATGTAGCAGCCGTTGAAGCTTCATATTCGGTGGCACTCAGAAGTGCCAGAGCCATGAAACCTCACACCATTGCTGAGAATTTTCTGTTGCTAGCAGCCAAAGACATTGTTTGCGTTATGATCTGAGCCGGATTTGTTATGATATTGAGTGTAATTTCCTTATTTTAACGACACTGTCTGCAGAAGAATAGATGACATGTCTGCCGGTATTCTTGAACAGGTAATCCAGGAAATTAAATCTGCCCCACTTTCAATATTTAGCATCCAGCTTGATGAATCTACAGATGTTGCAAACTGTTCCCAGTTACTGGTTTAGGTGAGGTATATTAATGATGGCGACTTTAAAGATGAGTTTCTTTTTTAGAAAAATTTTTCCCATTAATAAAAAGAATCCCAGACACTTTCCATCCTAGAGTAAACAGAACGAAGTGAACCCCTTGAGGGGTGCTGTCGAGCCAGGAGCCCCAGCTGCAGGTTTCACACTCGACTTCAAGGGGAGCCCGCGTACAGAGTAAATTACCAAAAAGGCTAGGTGGGCAAAGACAGAGGAACTGCTTCACCCACCAGGGCAGCAGGGGCCGCCAACTACAAATCAGTCTGAGAACTGGCCGCCTTGGGCGCGTATTTCAGCATCAGTTCATGAACCTTCCGGATGTAGTCGGACTTCTCGGCACAGCCTTTGCACGTCTCTCCCGAGTCGTCCAGTACCTTCTTCAGCTCTTTAACCCGGAGCTTCTTCAGATCCACGCTGCTCAGGTCGATCTGCCTGTTGTACTTGAGCTCGCAGATCTGGCCGTCCTTCTTGAGCTTCTCACAGATCTTCTCCACGGGGGTGTGGTGGGCGAGGGGCTTCGACACCTCGTTGATGATCTTGGTGGCCGCATCGTCTGTGGCCCTGATGTAATAGCACAAACAATTCTCTTACCTTTTTCAATAGTGGCCGGGGAGAACGTGACATCTCTGTCCTTCAGGTCCTGGTAGAATCTTCCCAGAAAAGAAACGCACACTTCGCAGTTGCCTGGCTGCAGCGCCCGGCCTCCCGGCAACAAGCTCAAAGCCAGAGCCACTGCCAACCCGTGCGTGGTCCACATCCTCCTCCTTGGTCGCAGCCACTGCCGCCGCAGCCACCCCGCTGAACTAAACTGCGCCATCCACGCCGTGCCGCCTCCAAGTGATGAGTTTCTCTTTTGCAAGCCTTTTGAAATGACAACTACTGCATACGATGTATTTGACACAGTTGGTTCATTTCTGAAAGAGCATAAGATCTCTTGGGAAAAGGTGTGTTGTGTTAGCACAGATGGTGCTCCAGCTATGCTAGGATGTTGATCTGGATTTCAATGTTTGGTACTAAATGAGTCACCAAAAGTCATCGGAACTCACTGTATGATTAATTGTCAAATATTAGCAACGAAGATGCTGCTTGTGACAAAAGTTACAAGAAGTAATGAAAAGCATCATAAGTTCTGTCAATTTTGAAAACAGTCAACTGTTTTCACAACTGTGCAACGAGTTGGAGGCACCAAATAATGCCCTGCTATTTCACACTGAAGTGAGACGGTTGTTGAGAGGAAACATTTTAAAACTTGTTTTTGAGCTTCGTGATGAACTCAAAATGTTTTTTTAATCAGAAAGCAAGACTGCAGTTCAAAACACTTTTCAGCGGTCAAAATGAACTGCAGAAAATAGCTTACTTGGTTGCCGTCTTTGCCATCTTGAATAAGTTAAACTTATCACTGCAAGGACCACATGCAACATGCCTTGAGTTGTCTGAAAAGATATGATGATTCCAAATGAAACTTCAGCTTTGCCCCTCCCCCCCCATAAAAGGATGAAAAGAAAATTTACATGTTGCCGATCTTATCTGCTTTCTTTGAGGAACATGACATTGAACCAGACAAAAGGGCTACAATGATAATTTCTGTGAAAGAACACTTGCAAATGCCTGCAGACGAAATTTCATCATACTTTCCAAATCTACCTGACGCCCCATTCGCACTTGCCAGAAGCCCGTTCACAGTCAAAGTTGAAGATGTTCCTGAGACTACACAAGAGGGGTTCATTGAACTTATTAACAGCAATGCAACGGGAACTGATTTTTCAACAATGCCAGCTACAGAATTCTGTATCAAGTGTTTGAAGTCATATCCTGTTCTGTCTGAGACCGTTTTGTGCCTTCTTCCATTTCCAGCAACATATCTTTGTGAAACAGGGTTTTCCAGCTTGTTGGTTATCAAGTCTAAATACAGAAGTAGACTTGTGGAAGACGATCTTCGTTGTGCTCTTGCAAAGACTGCCCCCAAAATTTCTGATCTGGTGAGAAAGAAGCTAGCTCAACCTTCACTCTGATGTTGGCTTCTTACACATACTATTGCAAAATGTAGCAATGTTGTTTACATGCTACACCATGCTTCAAGACAAGATTTAATTTATTTGTAATTAGTAATAAATATTTCACAATATATAATTACATATTGTTTTGTGATTAATCACAATGCTTTAATTACGTTCAATTTTTAACAATGAAAATATATCCTGCATATTAGATATTTACATTATGATTCATAGCAGCATCAAAATTACAGCTAAGAAGTAGCTAATTTTATGACTGGGGAGTCACCACAACATGAGGAATTGTATTAAAGGGTTGCTGCATTAGGAAGGTTGAGAACCACTGTAGTAAGGGAAACGTTGAGAAAAATTCACTCATGAAGAACTTAGTATATAAAATTAAAATGTACCCAGTGCTAGTGAAATATGGAACTTTATGCATGGTACTGACATATCCAGAATTTGATTTTATAAAGAATAGTTTTCGGCAGAGAGACTTTAGCTAACAGTATAGAAGCTGATAGTAAGCAGAAAAGGAAGGATAAGATTCAGAATGGAAGTAGGCAAAGGAATGGGTTAGTCAGCTATGTAAGGGGAAGAAGTCTATTTAGGGAAGTTGATGAAAGTCCAGAATGAGGTTTGTCACCGATTTGACATTTCATCCTTTTTGAAATGAGGAAATCATTATACACTTGAATTTTTCCCACAGCGGTATCTTTGTTAGCTGTGTTCAACATCACAACAGTTTCTGTGGCGTTTTTCCTGAGCAGGAAACAAAATTTTACAGCCATATACTGTTCTCTTAAATCAGCCATCACACAAAAAAAGGTTCAAACCAAACTGTTTCGCTAAAAAATTCACTGTGAGCAGAGAGAACCTTCCCAGGCAATGCCACTAAGTGCACTAACTCAGAGCCAGTTGCAAGGTGCTCACCTAGTGGGAAAAATGCATACTACAAAAGCTCCACCCAGTGGGGCTTTTTTCCATCTGGAGTGGGGGGAGGGTATCCCCTAGTGCACAAATTAATGATTCCTGTATTTTATCAGCTTGTTGAAATACTTCAAAAGGCATTGGTCAATCCTGGACCCTTATTTATCACTAATGCCTTCAGAAGAGCTTAGATTTCTTTATTTAATACCACTGGCTCTTATCATATACTTACTCATGAAATGAATGAATGTTGACCAATTCTTTTTGGTTGAATGGTTCATTGTATTATTTTCACCATATTTTGATGCATCCTGAATCATTTGATGTTTTGCTCATATAATTTTTCAATATTGCAACTGAAGGCTTGAATTTATTCTTCGGTTCATTCATCTTGGTTGCCTAAATCCAGGTCTTTCCACCTTTCATTGTAATACTTTACTTTGTGTTCTCAAACTGTCCTTTGAAATTTTCAGTTAAGCTCTTTTAGGTCATCTTTGCTTCCATTAACTTTTGTTTCTCTACAATCAGGAACAAATTTCAAAGTCTCATCTAACATCAACTTGGATCTTTTCTTTTTTCCTTTCTTTCTAATAACCTTTGCTTAATTTATGTATGATATTCCAAATATGATCAGGTCTTTATTCAATGGGTGAGAAACTGTTCTTGTGGTGTTCTTGAAATTCAAGTGGAATATACTCAAGGTCATAGCTTGGCTTTAAAGGCACTTGTTTTAATTCTCTTCAATTTTAAACTGAACTTACATATGAACAATTTCTTTTCTTTTCTACAATTAGCCACTGGCCTTGTTTTGGCTGCTGAGATTGACTTCTTCCATATTTCTTCCTATAGATGTAGTCAATTTAATTACAGGGGACTTCATTTGGCAAATTTCATGTGTATAGTTGCTGTTTATATTGTTGAAAAGAAAAGGTACTTGAAGTGAAGAAGTGGTTGGTCTTGAAAAATTTTGCCATGTAATCTCTAACTTCATATATGAAACAAAGATCATATTTTTCAATGACTGCTCCTTCCTCTTTGTTTCCAATGTTTGCATTCCAATCTCCAATAATTACCAATGCAGTTTGATTGCACGGAGCCCAGGTGCATAGTGGTTATGCATTGGGCTGCGATTGGCAAGGTGGACAGTTTCAAAACCACCAGTGAATCTGTCAGAGAAATATGGGACTTTCTACTCCCATAAACAGTTACAGCCTTCTTGGAACCTCACAGGGGTATTTCTAACCTTCCCTAGAGGGTCTCTATGAGTCAGTATTGACTAGATGACAGTGAATTTGGTTTTGGTTTGGTTGATTGTGTGTTTGATCAATTTCAAATGGAAAAAGTTGGTAGAATTTTTCAATAGCTTCACCATTAATGGTTAGTATGTAAATTAAAATAATAGCTGTATTAACTGGACGTCTTTACAATCATATATATATAATATATAATATGTCACAGACTATACTAAATTTTGAGATTGATATTGAAATGTTCTTTTGAGAATAAATGTTATGCTATTCCTCTTGAATTTGTCATTTCCAAATTAGTAAATCATATGATTTTCTGATTTAAAATGACTTACAAATGCCTAGGTTCATTTTTGAGGCCTTACAATTTTCCTAGATCCTACTTTGTACATTTCATGTTCTGGTTATTAGTAGATGTTTGCAACTCTTTATTCCCATTTTGAGTCATGCTACATCAGAAATGAAGGTTCAGAAAGCTTTACTCAATCCACATCATTATAGTAGATTTGATATTGAAAAGGCAGCTTTTCCTCAATTATATTTTGAATGCCTTCTGATCTGAAGAGCTCATCTTCCAGCACTCTCTCTGACAATGCTTTGCAGATATTCTGAAGGTTCTCAGTGGCTGATCCCTCAAAAGTGGTTGGCCAATTTCATCTATGTAGTCTGTTTCTAATCTTAAAATTGCTGAATCCTATTCACTGTGTAACCTTGGTGATATTTGAAACACTGGTGATATATTTTCAAACCTCACAGTTACATGCAAGTCATCACAGTGCAACAAACTGACAAACAAATGTTGGATCAAGTGTATGAAGGAGGTAGAAATTTTAAAGTATTTGAAATGTGAGGAATCTGACCTCTTCATACACTCAAAGAAAGTAATTTAAGAATGACTCCACCCAGAAAATGGAGGAAAGTGAACCCATGAAAAAGAGAAATAAGATGTGGTGTATACATTTCCCAATACCTAGCACACACAACATGCACAAATATAAAGCAAAGTGACAGTAATAAATACATGAATATCAAATGTCTCACTGAATGTTAATGGACAAATGAACCACTTAAGAGATGAAGAATAGCAGAATGGATTAGAATGACAAATTCATCAATATGCTGCCTACTAGAAATGCAACTCACAAATACAGACACGAAGAAAATAAAAATCATAGGCTGGACAAAAGCAAACAGCAACCAAAAGGAAGCATGGGTAGCAATCTTAAACCTTGAGAAAATAGGGTTCAATACAAACAATGTAATAAAAGACAAGAATGAACATTACATAATGATTAAGGGAACAATAGCCCAAGAAACATAACAATGATAAACATATATATATATATATGCAAAGAAAGAGCATCAAAATACATCAAACAACTTCTCACAGAATTTTAAAAGGATATAGAGACCTTGACAATAATAACAGGAGACTTCAATATAACAGTCTCAAGGAAAGACAAGATCAAGAAAAAATATAATAAAGAGGAAAAAATCAACATAATTGATCTCATAGACATATACACCCACTCCATCAAACAACACAGTATACGTTCTTCTCCAACACAAGTGGAACATTCCCAAGAAAAGACCATATACTAGGCCATTTG